GACTGCTACCTGCTCTCAGGATGGCCGAGCGGTGAGGGGGAGAGAAGCCGCGCCCCCAGCTGTCAGGATGGCCGATCGGGGAGGACAGCGGAGCCACTGTCATCCTGTCAATTTCAGGACGACAGCGGCTCTGTGCGTGGCAGAGCGGGGGATCAGTGAATAGCAATGATGCTTACCGATCCTTTGTGTGAGAAGGACAAACACTGGAGCCATCGTCTGATCACTCCAGTGTTTGTAAATAACTGGGGACACATAGTACTATGTGTCCCCAGTTATGAATGAACAGGCTGTGATTTACATCACAGCCTGTTCATTCAAGATTTCCTCAATGGGGAGAAGCACTCAGTACCGAGGCTCCTCCCCATTCAGAACCTGGTGATAGTAAATATTTTACTATCAGTGTCTGAAGGAATGGGGAGGAGCCTCTGTACTGAGTGCTTCCCATTCATTGAGTGCTGAGGCTGCAGAAAAAGAAATTGAGGATTTGGTGTCCTCAATTTCTATTTTAAAAGGGAAATGTCAGGGGTCTGTTTGGACCCCTAATATTTCCCCGAAGCCCCCCCAACAGTAAAAAATAAAAATAAAAAAAAATGTAAAAAATTAATTTTAAAAAAGTGAAAACTGCCCCCCCCACACAAATATATTATTAGACATGTGCAAAGACTAAAAATTTATTTCAGATGAAATGTGTAATGCTCTGTGCGTTGTGCTGTGGCTGTATGTGTGTTGTTCTGTGTGCGCGTTCCCTGTGTGTGTTTGTGTTATGTAGGGCAACTGGTGGCAAGTAACTTTGAAGGCATGGCTAGTACGTCAGGACCTGAAATTTTGAGCCCTGTGTAATATATACATACATAAAATGTATTTATCTATACTATATTGTACAAATTAACCCCTTACAATGAAAATCTGCAGCTGAACTGCAGATTTGTTTTTCACCTGAAGGGGTTAATTTATCTATTTAACTCCCTCATGATGGCGATGCTCAAAGTATGTCGCTGTCACTGAGTGGCATTTAGTGACACTTAGTGACATTGTATGCCACCTAACCGCTATTAGCTTTTAGAGAAGAAAATAAAATGTTAGTTTTTGGCCGCGAAGTACAAAAATGTTTCTGAAATCCTAGGGATGGGAGGCGTTTACAATAAAAGGCAAATTAATTTATTGTAATATTTTTTTTTAGCTTTTCTAAAAAATAATAATCAAAACTGGGGGGAAAAAAGTGTTATTACATTTTTCCTCATTTTTTTTTATATTTTGTTCATCCTAAGTCAGGAGTTAGGCACACATATGTGATATACAGGTGAAACTCGAAAAATTAAATATCGTGCAAAAGTTCATTTATTTCACTAATGCAACCCAGATCCACAATCTCAGAACATTTTTGGCAGTGTGGGCAGGTGCCAAGTCCTGCTGGAAAATGAAGTCAGCATCCCCACAGAGCTAGTCTGCGGAGGAAAGCATGAAGTGCTCCAAAATCTCCCGGTAGACGGCTAAGTTGCATTAGTGAAATAAATGAACTTTTGCACGATATTTTGAGGTCATAAGCACTTCTGATGAGAAAAGGGCTTTTGAAGTGAAGGGGTGGCTTTGCTGTGAAAAGAAGCCGCTCCTAATTTAAAGGGGGGCTCTGATGTGAAGGAGGGACTTTTGCGATTTTGTATGGGGTCTCCCCCTTAAAATCAATACCAGACCCCTATCTGGGATAAGGGTCTGTTATGGATCTTGGAGGGGCCACATGTACTTTTTTACATTTTTAGACTGAGTTGCGCCAAGATTTTGCACACTTCAAGGCTGAGAAACACTTCTCAAGGGATTACCTGGAGACCAGCTCCTTTGATTCTTCTGTAAAACTCATCATCTTCACGACCCCATCCCCAAAACCGATTGGACATTCCATTACACTGTGGAGATGAAATGAGAACAAAAGGTAAATAATACTGCCAATACGTTACAGTTTTATAAAGCTAGTCCCCATTTACGGGTGTACATGATCACACAGCAACATGGATATAAATGAACTCCAACGGTCTCAGAGCAAACGTTTACAGAAAAGGCAAGGCACAGAATCCCACAGCAACCAATCATATTTGCGTTTACTACATTTTATGATAAAGCCTTTATATATTCTTTTGGTTTCCTTTTAGGGTTTATATGTTTTTAAGCAGATCCTTTTTTACTATGTATTAATTCAAGGAGCACTAAAGACAAAGTAGTTACAGAGCATTACTCTACGTATTTTATAAAGAGAAAGCACATAAGCAGCTTAAAATTTCAGACCTTCTAGAAATGAAAAATATTATTTCCCTCACAAAGTTAATCATGCTTCTTAGATGAAAGACGTAAAGTCCTGTGTGTGGGAGAACTCAAGCCAATAGAGCCATGACCTTTAAAATGTATACTCTTTTTTTTTTTTTAATTGGGGAGATGTTTAATTCTGCAGGCTGCGTGTGTGTGTTATAGGCACTCATTAAAAAAAAATATATAGTAGACTCAGCATTAAAAAGGAGTTAAACAAAGGCTCTTTCTTCTCCAAAAGCTTTTGCTTATAAATAAATGATCTTGTTCCTCTTAAATTTGGAGTTTGCTTTTCAGCTCAGTGTCATGTCATTATGTGGCACGAAAAATAGGAGGTCTGCCAAAGACTACACACAATAAAGCACACACTGATAATTTATTCTAAACATGCGTCAAAATGTCCGGAGGGGCTTTCGCAGTTCACGGCACTGTGCTTTACCTACTATAATAAAAGTCTCCATCACTGAATTACAAGCCTAGAACAGCATCGCTATAATCAGCGTACATTAAGGCTTGTCTACACAAGCTATTTTATTAGTTTTAGCTGCTAGTAGCACAAGTTTTAAAAACACAAATTATTTCAATTGCAACACTACTGAGACGTTTAAAAGTAAATATTATTTTACATAACGCAAGCACAATAAGAAAGAAAACTTTTATTTAATATAAATACAATGATATTTTTCTCTATGTGGAGCACCGGCCAAATGTTTTAGTTTTTTTGGGTTTAGAGAAAGTGGATAAAGCTACAGACCTCAGCGAGGGTTTTATTGCGGTCTGTGCCCCCAATGGTAAGATTTCCCCTCATTTGCTGTAAAGGTGACATGTGACAGAAACAGAACAGAGGTATATTAAAAACAGACACGGACAGCAAAAACAAGCCGACAAAGCTTGCAACCATTCCTCAGCTTACCCCCACACAAAAAAATAGGTACTAAAGTTTTGAATTCCTGTGTACACCACTTTTCTTTTTTTTTTCCATTTTAATTGACAAAAATGAAGGTTTGATGGTTTTGTTTACCATATTAATTTATTTGTTCAGGACACTCCACATTTATAAAAAGGGACATGCGCAACTGATCTGCAAGGTTAGCACAGCACGATGACGAGGGTAAACAAATTTACTTGTAAATCCCCCGCACCTTTAAGGAACTCGTTTGCCTTGTGTTTGCCTTTTTCTTTAACCTCCCTGGCGGTCTGATTATGTCAGTATTTTTGAATGTCAAAGCGGTATGTTGTTTTGCATGGAAATTTGTTGTTTTATATTGTAGGCCTGTAATTCTTAGGAATAACTCACTTAAATCTGTCAAAACAAGAGAGTCTAGTAGACATCCCGGGTATAATAAAGTTTGAAACACGAAAATCATAAAATTATAAAACATAATAAATTAAATAATGTAAATCAAACCAAAAACACTGAAATTTGTCCAAACAAGGGTGCAATATTTTTGGATGCCATGAACGATCTCAAGTTTCCAGGCAGAAAGAACAGTAAGGCCTCATTCACACACAACGCAAGCAAAATTGTATATTGCGTATATACGAGCGTCTATACGAGCGTATATGTGTGCACTATATGCAATCACAGAATACATCACTCGTAATGGAATTTTTAATGTGATGTACGCATGTACAAGCGTATATGCACGTAAACACACGTATGTGTGCGTAAATACGCAGAAATACGCTGCCCGGACGCATCTCTGTTCCATTCTGTTTTCGCCCATATATACGCTACGCAAATATACGGCTCCATACGCGGCTGTGTGTATGGAGCCATTTATTTGCATATGTTACAATAAGTGTACGCGCGTATATGCGCGGCAGTGTGAATGAGGCCTTAAAGTGCAGGCAGGGCACTGGACAAAGCTCTAGGGACAAAACAGAGGTGAAATGGTTTGCTACAATAATGTAATCATAACAGATTACAATGTATTGTGTGTATGTCACGTTGCGTTTACTTTTCAATTTCCTGCCAGTTCCGCCCCCCTGCGACGCCGGCTCTTGCAGGGAAGGAACCCGGAAGACAGATGCCGGCATCGGCCGGAGGACACCAGGGGCTCGTAGGGACAAGGTAAGTGACACTACAGTGTAATCCCGAGTGTGACTCGGGGTTACCGCTTTTGGTACTGAAAATTAACCCCGAGCCACACTCTGAATTGAAGCAAGGGTGGTTAACCAAATATGTGTGACAGTTTCCTGAAGCCACTTTTATATATCAAAAAGACAAGTTCACTCTTTTTCCAGTGATCAAGTTAGATATTCATTCCTTGTAAATGGAGAGAAAGAAAAAGCTGTTTTTTGGCCCCAAAAAGTGGCTTCTGAGCAAATGCAAAGATCAGTAAAATACTTTAACATTCCTGCCGATTTGACATGCCGTGGGTTACTGTACATTGCCCAATATTCACGCACTGTGTCACTGTGAAAGTGTCTAGAAAGAGCTGCAAGGGCTGGGACAGTGCTAATAATGAGAGATTTTAACTACCCTGCAATTAACTGGTGTCATGGCATTGCTAGACCAGTAAAAGGGCGGAAACCTATTACATGACAGTTTTATGATACAGTTTATAGATTCCTCAAGAAGAAATGATGCCATGATGGACCTATTAATCTCAAACAATGCAGAGATAAATAAAATGTAAGAATCCCAACACTTGAACCTTCGGGTATACCACTAACCTTAAATCATTCAGAATATGAATCCTTAAATCACTACTCTATGAATATATTCTTTAAGACAGTTTACTATACATTTATAGACTGAATCTTCTAAGCCTATAGTCCTTAACTTGCACATTAGCCGTCATGAAGAACTGCATCAAATTAACCCCTTCATGACTGAGGCCCTTTTTTCCATTTTTGCACCCATGTTATATTCCACATTTTAGGCCTGAAAATGACGTAAAACCCCCCAACATTATATATTTTCTGAATGCCAAGACCCTATAGAATAAAATGGTGGTAGTTGAAAATTTTTATGTTGCGCAATATTAGCGCAACTCCTTATTAAACCGCAAAATTTAGTGACAAATTTAATTAAATGCCCCAAAACACAACAAATTACACATTTTTTTAATGAAATATAAAAGATGAGGTTACAACGAGTAAAACGATACCCAACATGCCCAGTTTACAGATTGCGTGCGACCGTGAAACGGCGAAAAACTGCAGTACCCCAAAAAGTCAATAAAAGACACTTTAAAAGCCCCCACAGGTCATCAATTTAGAGATACCCCAAAATACTGGCCCTAGAATTATTGCTCTCACTCCGGCGTGCGCGGCGATACCCAACATGTGTAGCGCGTTCGTCGTTTTCATGCGTAGGCGCACCCGACGCGTGTTTACGTGGCGACGCGCGTGCTCGCGGGGGCGGGGTACTTTTAAATTTTTTTTTATTATTATTAGATTTATTTTATTTCATTTTAATTTTAAAAACTGTTTTTTTTTTTTTTTTTACTTTACTTTGACTGCTATCACATGGGGGGGCTTGCAAGCCCCCCCATGTAATAGCAGATGGTGGTGACAGGTCCTCTTTAAGGTGATGCTGGGGGTCCAAAAGACCCTCAGTGTCACCTTTACACTGGAAATGAGCTATTGAAGTGCAGATCGCACTTCAATAGCTTATAGCTGGGCTGCAGGAGCCCAGAACTGACAGCCCAGGGACCGGAAGTGATGCAATCTGCATCGCTCCCGGTCCCATAGAACGGGGAGGGGATCGATGAACGGAAGTTCGTCGACCTCCTCCCCAGCTCCCCGCGGACACAAAGATCGCCGGTCCCGGGCCCGTAGGAGGGGCAACGGAGCCCGGGAAGCACGGCGGGGGTGTCCGGCGGGGGGGGGCGGCCCCTTCTTCGGGACGCAGAAGCGATCTGGCGACAGGTAAGTCGCCAGGATCGCTTCTGTTGTAAAGCCGACAGTCGGCTCTACAAGTTTAAACAGACTCCCGACGGCAAAAGTCGCCGGAAGTCTGTTTAAACAGCCCCGATGCTGGCGACGTACACTGTACGTCGTCAGTCACGAAGGGGTTAAAAGTACCATTTCTGGGTTTGCGGATGACACCAAGCTATGTAGTGGAATAAAGTTCAGACAAGATGTCCCCCAACTTACAACCAAACTTGAATGCACTCTTTGATTGGGCAGCTTTGTGGCAAATGACGTTTAATGTTGATTAAAAAAAAGTGTTATGCACTTGGGGACTAAAAACATGCATGTAAAACATACATACTTGTGGGGAGTACAACTGAGGGAGGCAATAAGTGAGAAGGATCTGGGACCCCCAGATCTTTCTCCATTCCTGACTTCCCCAGAGAAGCACCTCCTATATAGTAATTGGTGCATCTGCTTAGTTCCCATGTGCATAACTTCGCATTTCTCGCTATTGAAGTGCATCTGCCATGTTGTAGCCCATTCCTCAATTTTTTCTTCCTGCAGTGATTGTATGCCTTGCTTTGAGGTTATTTCCCTACATAGCTTAGTATCATCAGCAAACATTGAGATTATTGAACTATTCCAACCTCTATATAGTTTATAAATAGGATAAACAGAACTGGCCCCAGGCCCAAACCTTGGGACACGCCACTCACAACTTTTGACCATTTAGAAAAAG